TTTAACCTTTATTTTCTCACTAGACTCCCTACCAAACAAATGAAAAGGCTGGAGATCCATGATGCAAAGAGACAAGTACTCTCGGCCCACAACAACTTTACAGATCAAGGATTCGAAGCCCAACAGGGAACAGACAACTTCCACCCAACTTTTTGATTTATGTGATTCGACAAAACGCAATTAAAGTCGCTAGGCCCACATTCTCTACATTTACAAGAACATGTCGGCCCATTAATACCGTACCAGTTTCTGAATTGCGACCCAACAATTCTGAGTAGATGGCAGCTGCGGAATTTTGAACCACCAAAAACAGGGCCCATTTTTGACTAGTATAGTCATTCTGGTCTCATTGCTGCCTCGCTGGGCCCAATGATTAATACTAAAATTGCCATTTGTTTATTATTATTATTATTATTATTATTTTTCGAATTAATTCTCCTTTGCTAATACGCTAGACTCTCAATAATTATGAGTTTTCAGTTCACAAGTTTAAAGTTAACATATCCAATATAATCATCCCTCATTAGGATTTGTGATTAACAATAAATTTTAATTTTGTGATGTTAAGAGATTGATTTAGTGAAACTTCAAATAAGTTAATTATTATAAACACATTTTTTTTAATGTGGAATTGCACCACTACTTAGCAAGTGAACTCAACACATGATCTCTCTAAATAATCCAAATTTGTTAGACACAACATGGATTGTAATGGTGATGGGTGGTTAGAATTGACAACATATTTTGTGATTTGTGAGTGGGTGAGGTGAAAACCCATTTTCTTGTGTGTGTTGTGGAGGGAACAAAATATAAACAAAAGTTTGGCATGTACAAGAATAATGAGAAAATGGGTGTCTAAGAGTGACCATAACTTCTCCAACATCACTCCAACCATGGAATACCGGTGACCTATTTGTCCCCTCTCCCCCCTCGTCCCCCACCCGCTCTCTCAATCCACCATGAATTGACCTCCACCAAAGCCCTTGCCCTCTTTTGTCAACAAAAACACATAGACAAAAAAAATTTTAAAATCTCAACAACAAACCACAGGATCTATTACATACAGTCATATTCAGAATTTTTATATTATTCGTAAAAGAGAAGAAGATATGTTTGTGCACCAAAGTGTTAAAGTCAAACAAATAATAACATTTTTTTTCATATATCATTAGTTATGGTATTTAAAAATATTGTTATAAATTAATTTTAATTTATTAATAAATAATAAATATTAATTATTTTATTATATATTATTAATCATTATAATTATTAATTAATTTTTAACAACCAAATTAAATTTAAACTAATATTTAAAAATTTATATAAACTTAATATTTTATTAATTATTACTTTATCGTACTGCCATACCATTTTCTTTTGAGTCAAGTGACCCTTTACTTTGTCTTCCATTTTGTTGGATTGCAGAAATTTGCAACATAAACATAGTTAAAAGCACCTAATGAGGGTGAAGTGAGATGCCCCATTTTGCAGGGTTGTAATTATGGGATACCATTTGTCCCCCTCTAAATGGACCCACGAGACGTGTCATCTTAAAATTTGAAGCTTCCTTTTTTCAGAGGCACAGACACATAAGTGGATTCAAAGCACCTTTGTAAAAATCATGTTTAAAGGTTCTAAACAAGATTTTAAAAGCAACAAGTTTTGATGACAAATACATCAAATGTTTGGTTTCAGCATAATTCTTAATCATTTCCTCCATTTAAACTACTTTTTTGAGTTAATGACATTTATCAATTTTTTTCACTAACACTTCAAAAGATACTTTATATATATAAAGATTAAAAGATAATTTTTATATAATTACATTTTTTAATTAATAATTAATTTTTATTTCATTAAAATGTTTAATATTATATATATTCATTTATTTTAATAACATATAAAAAATTTATAAATCATTAAAAAATTATTTATATATCATTGCTCTTTTATGTACTAAAATGTTTAAATTAATTAAGTTGAAACGAAACTCACAGGACATGGAATTAAGATAGAATCCATGGTATATACTTTCTTAATTGCTAAATAAATATATATTGAATTCAAAATAAGATAATTATATGATTAGGGCATTTATTTGTTAAACTTAAAAAAAAAAGAAAAAGAAAAAGAAACTCTATAATATATTATGTTATTTTAATAAATTTCAATCAAAAAATTAAAATAATTTATTTTAAAATAAAAACAAAACTATCTAATTTTTTTGTATCTTACTAAATTATATAATTTAAAGATATTTGTATATTAATTAAGATTAAAAATGTAAAATTTATCATTAATTTTATTATTAAAATTACATAAACTATTTTAATTAAATAATTATTTAAATAAACATTAATTTTTATTTTTAAATATTATTAAATATAAAAAATATAATAATACACTCTTAATCCATATTTTTTAAAAATCTTTTATATTATAAGAAGATGCATTTGGAAAAAGAAGGGAGGAATTTATTAACTTTGGAGGGGGAGAGAAAGAGAGAGAGAGAGAAAGGTGCGTACGATGAAAGCGGGCGTTAAAACAATAAAAATTAGAGAAAATTACAGTCGTCCATGATTAAAGCTGAAAAAAAAAAAAAACAAAAAAACAAAAACAAAACAAAAGAAAAGAAACGATAAATGAAACAAAAGGAAAAACAAATGGGTTTGTGTGGTATTTGTCAAGCAACAGAAAGCAACCGGCATGAGTCTCGAGAGCCCCTTCTTTTTGACCCTTTTTTCTTCCTTTATTTTTTGTCTGTCATCTTCTGTTAGTACACAAGTGTTAATTTACAACACACATTACAACTTTTTTTCCCTGTAATACCACATAAGATAAGATGACACCAACCACTCTAACAAAAAAATAATAATAATAGTAGACCCCATAAAGGAACTCCAATATAAGGTAGTGACTCCTTATTTGATCGCCATGGTTATCCGTGCTCCTATATATGTTAAGGCTGTATAGATATTTTGAAGGTAAATTATGATTTATTTGATGGTTATTATTGATTAAAATGTATAAAAAAAATATTAGTAAATATATTTATTTTAAATTATTAAGTAATTTAGTAGATGTCAACTATAAATTATTTTATTAGTTACTCTTTTCGATAAGATTTAATTGTTCAATTGTTTTAATTTGATTTTTATATAAAATTTGACTATATGGTTATATATAAATTAAAATTGATTTTTTTCTTTCTATATGTTGTATTTGTTAAGTACTTTCACTTAGGTAAAACAAAATTTTTAATTATCATATTTTTATTATATAAAATTATTAGGTCAAATTATATATAAAAATCAAATTGAAACAATTAAATTTGATTAGATGAAAGAAAATGATTTAGAGATAATTTTTTATATCATATTTTTATATAATTTTATGTGTCATTTAAATAATTAACTCTTTTTATTTAATTGAAACTCGTAATATTAAATGTATTCACTAATTTAATGACATGTGAAAATTAAATAAACATTCATATTCAATTCCACTTAAATCCATCACTATAAAATTTTTATGTAATATAAGAAAATAATGGAAAACATGACAACTC